AAAACTTGATGAAGGGCTGGGGAGATGGCTCAGTAGAATAAGTGTTTCCCTGGCAAGCGCAAGGGCCTGAGTTCAATCCCCAGTTCCGCAAAAAAAAAAAAAAAACTTGATGAATACAGGAGAAACTTTTTAATAGTCCAATTTCAATGATGAACATAGATGCAGATTTTAAAGAAAATACTGAAATAATAAATCTGGCAAACCTGTACAAATGCCACATGATAATTTGTTTTTGTGGGAATGGAAGGAAGCTAGTTTAACATTTAATATACAGGGGCCATATTAAGAGATTTAAAAAAGGAAAACGTCGTGATTATTTTAGTAAGTTTCAGAATAAATTAGATAAAATTAACATTCAGTCATGGTTTAAAAAAAAAAATCCACACAAAGAAAGTTTCTTAGTGTGAGAGGAGGTATTTATTTAAAAAAAAAAATAGGAGAAATACTGTACTTAATATTTTGAATGCTTTCCCACTTAGATTGAATATAATTTAAGGCTGCCCACTATCACCACTTCTTTTCTACTTCATAATGGAGGTCCACCAAGACAGTAAGGTAAGAAGAAAAAAGAAAGCAAGTTTTAGAAAATAGTAATTATTACCCAGAGAGGATATGTGCATGTATAAGCACAGCGAGTTACTAGACATAAAGTCAATATACAAATACCAGTTGCATTTCTAAAAATCTGCAAGACATAAAGTGGGCTTTTTTAAAAAAATGTATTTTGTACAAGGTCACACTATATAACTCAGACTCATAGCAATCCTTTTTTTCAGCCTCCCCACCATTGGGATTACAGGCATGAGCCACCACGCCTGGTGTTGGTACCCGGTTCAGGGTGCTCCAGGGGTGTGGCTGGCACAGCATGTGGTGCGAGGGATCGAATCCCGGTTCTTGTACTTGCCTAAGCAGGCACTTAGTCTGCTGAGCTATATTGCTGGCCCTAGAAAGAAAGTTTTAACTAAAAATACCAATTACACCAGCATAAGCATTGCTGTATAAATGCATGCTTACCAGGAAATATGTAAGACCTTGGTGTTATCTTTGGAGGAATTAGGAAACATAATTTAAGGTGTGGTTAAAAATAAATACTGCAAACTCTGCTGTAGAGTCCCATCCAGCTGAAAGGGTATGAATCTGCAGTATGAAGAGCAAGAAGCAGTAAACCTCAGTAACACTGTGACAAGTTTCAACTTGTTCATCTGTTATTCAATTGTAGGCTACAGTTGTACAAATGTGTATCTCAAAGTATGACATATATCATGTTTCATTGGAGTTGCACAGTTATGCTATTTCAGATTCCAGCTAAAACTGGTCTGTGGTTATAATACTGAGCTAAGGTTGCATTCTTAGTGGAAAACACTCAGTTCACCTCATGTGAAAAAAGTGCATCAATCAAGATCCAAAATCAAGATGAATTAATGGAATCATTTTAGCTGAATTTTACCCAGAAACACCACAGGGAACTCTGAATATTATGAGAGCTTATTATTTAAGAACTGATCTATGTAGAAAATGGCCTAGAAGTGGGCAGATGGTTTCATCCTCCATAGTGCCTAGGCTCCCTGTCACACACTGCTTCTGGTACAGCCCGTTTTTATCAAGTAAAAACATTATAGTGTATTCTAATTCATCAGATCTGGCATCATGGACTCCTAGGTCTTCTCCAGAGTCAGAAGGACTATGAAAGGTAAATGCTTTGAGTGTATTCAGTCCATAGAGGCAGCCACTACAGGAAGAGAACTTCTAGAACTGCTTCCGAAGGTGGCAATAATGATTGGATAAATGTACTTGAAGCAAGGATGCATATTTTGAAAGTAATTAATGGCAATGTGTGTTTTACTGTAATAAATTTTTAAAGAATTTTAAGCATTCATTGTAGTTTTTGATCACACCTCATAGAACAAAAGTAATAGCTGTTTGTTTTTTCCTCTTCAGGCTAAAATTCAGGAGATATGAATGGTTTTATTTCAGTGACCTTATATAGGGAGAGGCACATATTTTGTCCTATTTACTACAGACTAACTTGCTAAAGTAGTGACTTGTAATGTTTTTGAAGCACATTGTTCATAGCAAAATAAAATTAGGATATATTCATAATAGCAGGGGAATTTTGGTTTATTATGTCTCAAGTTTTTACCCAGTATGAAAATCTTTTCTGTAGCATTCTTCAAAGTTCTTTCTAGTAGTAGTTTATTCTTCTACCTGAAATTTCCATTCATGGGAACTAGTACTAAAACACAAAATTTTACAGATATTTTCACAAAATTCACAGTAACATCACAGATATTTTATTCAGTGCTTATTTACCAAACCTCGATAATTACCTTATTTTGTTAAGTCTAAGACTTCATTAGTTGTAATATACATCACTAGCCCATATTTTATTATTATATGAAGAAATGTTGCCACTTTTTCATTGTGACAATCTATTGATTTTAAGATAAACCCTGGAGATGCTAAGGAATTTTGGACATTTAAACATTTAGGGGCCGGAGAGATAGCTTAATAGAGTAAGGTAAGCGCAAGGCCTGCCTGAGTTCAATCCCCGGTTCCGCCAAAATAAAAATAAAAAATGAAAAAAGTAGATATTTAAAGTGCTTAAACATTCTAACACTTAACATTTTAAGTATTTTTTAAAGGATCCTATAATTATTTTGTAATGACTTATTATTTAGGACTATCCCTAAGAAAGTCTACATTTTCTTTCATCTGTAAGGCCTGTCATTGCCATCTTTAGTTTTTTTCCTCCCTAATATATGCATGCTTACATTAGTTCCTTCTGGTGGTTTTCTAATTATTTTGTTATCCTGCTCCTTTCACCCTCATCGTGGAACCCCATATAGTTTATTAAGCTCTGTGAGACTGAATATGATATAGATGATGTCAAAAGAAGGAAAGTTATAAAATCTTAGTATGTTCAGGAATTGGAATAGTATATTAGTGCACAAGGGTTTTGTTAACTTGACAAGATTTGAAGTATTTTTGTCTTTAAAATTGAAAGCCGTCCATAGCAATGAACAAATTGTTGTATTTAAACTTTTACATGTAGGTTTAAGTTTGTTTCTTTGTTTGAATAGGTTTAAGTTTTATGTCACACTTTTCTCAGCAGGAATCTCTCCTCTGGGCACTCGGTTATTTTGTAATTAAGGTTAAGGTAAAAAAAAAATAAATAAATAAAAATAAAATAAAAAAGCGGCTTTTTAAAACTATCCTTTAGGGGGCCTGGCCCTAGTTCTTTAAGTGGCTGCTTCCACAAAGCTGTCAGCCTCAGGTTGCTGTAGTTCGATCCCCACAACTCTCCAGCCGCCAGAAGTGCCCTGAAGGCATTCGAGGAGCAAAAAAAAATATCCTTTAAACAAATATAAATAATATTGTAGTACATGTCTTCTGTAAGGTTCTTTACAGGATTACTGCATAAGAAATTTGGTCATAATATAACCAGTCATCACTTAATAGCAGAGATACATTCTGAAAATGTGCCATTGGGCACTTTCATTGTTTGTGGACCCACAGTGTACTTGTACAAATCTAGGTAGAGTGGCCTATGGCTCCCTAGCTATAAACCTGTATGTTAAGTTACCGTGTTGAATATTGCAGGCAAGTGTAACACTTTGGTAAATACTTGTATGTCTAAATATATCAACACAGAAGAGGTGCATATAGTAGAAATACTAGTGTGTAGGAATTTCTTAGCTCTTTTACAGTGTTGTGGGACAGTCATCTATGGAGTTAATTTACTACATAATTATGTGGTGCTTGACTGAATGTTAACCCAGGATATTTCTAAGTAGCATAGGTGCTTCTTTGTTATATTGGTAGCTGTTATTGTGATAAAATTCTTAAGAATAACAAAGAGTATTTATTTTGAATCAGAAATTCAGAGGTTTCAGTTCATGATCACTTGACTATATTGCTCTTGGGCCAGTGTTGAGCTAGCACATCATCGGGGCCAGGGAGATAGCTCAGTAGAATAAGTGTTTCCCCGACAAGCTCAAGGGTCTGAGTTCAATCCCCAGTTCCGCCAAAAAAAAAAGATTTCTACCTACTTTTGGCAGCTGGGGAGATGGCTTAGTGGAATAAGCGCTTCCCTGGCAAGTGCAAGGGCTTGAGTTCAATCCCCAGTTCCACGGAAAAAAAAAAGGAGAGAGCTAGCACATCATGGTAGGGAGCATGTGGTGGAGCAAAGAGACTCACCATTCAGTGGTCAGGGTGCAGAGAGAGACAGAAAGGTATAGGCCAGGGACAAGGTATAGTTTCTAACACTGCACCCTCATAACCCATTCCCTTCAGCCAGGGCCACCTCCTAATAGCTCATTCACCTTTTATCTTACGCATTTTTTCATCACTGGAGCACAGTTTAAAGGAGAAGAGATTTATTTTGGCTCATGATTTTAATCCATAGATGGCTGATTCCAAGGCAGGACAGTATGGCAGAGGGGTGTGGGAAAAGCTGCTCATGTCATGGTGGCCAGGAAGCAGGAGAGGTAAGGAGGGAGCTGAGAAAGGAGATAAACCTTCTAGGTCACAATCCCGTTTTCCCTCTTCTGACCAAGCCCAACCTCCTAACATCACATTTAGCTATAATCAGTGTTTCCGTGATTTAGTCACATTTCAGAAGCTCCACCTAAGAGTGTGTAAGAATTTTGAAGACATCTAGATATAAACCATAATATCTGCATTGTGGTAATACTCTCAAGATCCAGTCAGGTTTCTAGGACCACTTTTGAACACTGGTGCCCTGGAGATCAAGCCACAGGTCTTTGGAGGGCACTTCATATCTACACCATAGCAGTAGTGAATATTTATTTTTAAATATTTCCTTTATAATCATGTAATTTCTGATAGTTGCGATTGTTTTATTATATGTTAATTGCTTCAGATTAAATGCTCATAGTATGTTCATAATTTGCTAGTTGATATATAGTTTGTGGTTTTTAGCTGTTGCCAATTGAAGCTTTTCCATTAGTTAATCCTCTTCTTTCTCTTTGAAAACACAGGTTTTGAGAGTATTTTAGAAGGGCTTTATGGACCACGGCTACGAAGAGACCTCAGTTTATTTGAAGGTAATTTTTAAAATTTTAATTTAAACCTCCCACTCCATGTAACAAGTGAAAAATGGTGAGTTTAAAGCCACCCTGAACTACATAGTGAGACCCTTTCTCAAAAAACAAATGAATAAAATAAATGGTAATTGCATTAACTAAATCAAATTAAATGATTGTTCAATTAAATGTCTCCTAAAAAGCTGTCCCCTCAAATTTTTATTTTTATTACTTATAGTCATTATGCTTAGAGATACATTGAATACCAGAAAGTAAGAATCTATAACTAAGTAAATTTATACATTGACTTCATTATGTTTTTTTCAAGTCATGTTTTTTTCTAAAACTGAAGAGTAAAATTATTATAATATATTTTTTGGATATTGATTAAGGCAGGAGATTAATTTTTTCTTGATTTTACAGACTTTTGGAAAATCACTTGAGCCTGTAAGGGGAACATATCTGTGATCTGTTATACTTAGCTCTTCACTGGCATACTACCTGAAAATGTGAAGAAACTTTTCCCTTGATTGAGGGAGAAGCATCCTTAGTAGTAATACTGGTAATAATGATGCTGATAGTGATTAGTAAAAAACAATCTTTTTATGCTTAACAAGAATACATTGTATTTCTAGGCTGGCATGATAGCTCAGCCAACTAAGCACCTGCTTAGGTGGTAAGCACAGGGACCAGGATTCGATTCCTGGCACCACAGCCATGCTGGTCCTGCCCCTGGGCACACTGAGCCAGCCACCAAGACTTGGGCATTGTGGTGCACTCCTGTAATCCCAGCACTGGGGAGGCTGAAAACAGGAGGATCGCTACAACTCTGAGCTGTGTAATGAGGCCCTGTACCAAATACATTTTTTTTTAAAAGAATATATTGTGTTTCTTATTGGGTGTGGCCTGCTTGAAATTTATTTTCAACTGCTATAGTATCTAAAGAATAACTGTAAGCATGTATTCAGTATTAATGTTACCAGTTTGTAAACTTACATTTTAAACCATGCCTATCACTTTCTCTCAGATGTGCCAAAAATTATTATTTGCTTCTGTCATTTTGTAAGATTTTCTTAATAATTTTTGTATAAATTTTAAAAATTCAATATAATTTATTATAATATCAGCTTACGTTCCCAAAGTGTCACATCATACTTACAAACGTTTCCTTATCTGCTCACCATATCTTACTATAACTTATTAGAAAGAAAAGAGTTTATCATCAAATTCAAAAGTGATTATTTTTAATCATAAAAACTAAAAGTTTTCAAAAAAAAAAAAGAAAAAAAAATAAAATAAAAGTTTTCAAGGTGTTATTAGGATAGTACAACTTAGGGCCCTTGTGTGTTAATGATACAGACTTCTCAGTGCAGTCTAAAACATTCATACTTGATCAGTACTTTTTGGAATCTCAAGAAAATAATCAGATATGTGTGCATAAGATATAGTAAGGTTACTCATTATAGTTCTAAGGTTGTTTCTGTTTCTTTTTTACCATTGTGCATTAAAAATAGACTTTAATATTCTATGTTCATAGTTAAAATATATGCAGCCATTATTATGCAGTAATGATATACAAGAATATTAAGATTGAAGAAAAGGAATTTGCTGTGTACATACTGTATATTAATCTGTTTGTATTAAAAAGAAAGAACAAAAGTATGTATTGCAAATGTACTTGATGCAAGCAGGTGCAGGGCCAGGGGTTCAATCCCCAGGCCTGCCATGTCGGCCCCATCCACAGGGCATGCTGAGATGGCATTTGAGACTGGGCATAGTCACGCACTCCTGTAATCCCAGCTCTTGGGAGGTTGTAAACAGGAGAATCCCTATGAGTCCGATCTAATTGTGAGATCCTGAACACCCTGTAGACCCTTCTCTAAAATACAAATGAAAGAACGGATGGATGGATGGATGGATGGATGGATGGATGGATGGATGGATGGATGGATGAAAGAAAAATGTACTTGAGAATGAGCTTGTCCTGGCCGGAGGCCTTGGGGCCCTGTGGTAGCAAGCTGCACAAGTGTCAGCGTATGATCCATGGGCAGCAGCCAGGGCTCCTCACTGGCGAGGAGCAGCGAAACAAGCTAGAGGCCCTGGAGTCCATCTACTCTAACTCCTTCACAGTGTTATCATAAAATCCACCCAGCATCACCATTACTGTAACATCTGATGCTGGAGGAAATGATGAAGTTGTCCAGATTACCCTCAAGTTTACATACAGAGAAAAATACCCAGATGAGGGTCCTCTTTATGAAATACTCTCTAAGAAAACTCTGGAAGATAATCATGTCACCAACATTTAAAAATTATTAGCATTGCAGGCTGAGGAAAATCTTGGTGTGGTCCTGATCTTTACTCTAGTGACAGCAGTGCAAGAAAATAAATAAAATAGTAGATCAGATAAAAACAAGAGGAGAGCAAGAAAAGAAACTAAAAGAAAAAGAAGCAGAGGAAATAGAGAAGCAGTTATTCCATAGCACCCCTGTTACAATTGACAATTTCTTATGTTGGAAACCTAAGTTTGATGAAGAACTAGAAATTAAAAAGAAATGGATGAAAGAACAACAAGCAGGAAAAAATAAACTAAGTGGCAAACAACTATTTGAAACAGATCATAATTTTGACACATCTGATATCCAGTCCTTGGAGGATGCTGGAAACAATGTGGAAGTAGATGAGTCTTTGTTCCAGGAAATGGACGACTCAGAGTTGGAAGACGTTGAAGATGATCCAGACTCCCAACTGTGCAGATTCAGGGAGTGCCTACACGGAGTGACGGGTGTGTCCATCTCCAGAGAGGCTCAACAGCCACAGCATCCTCTTACTGGGAAACAGAAGATTACCTATTTAACATTATTTAATATTAAAGGGAGATTCTACCTATAGCATCAAGACTTGAAGGTGGGATGCTGCCATGGTCATAGAGGGGTTTATGCTCAAGGAACTGGCCTAACTTGTCATTTCTGTCTTGCAGATGATGGGTACTTTTGGATTCCAAATATTGTCTTCGTATAAAGTGTTACAGTACTGAGATACATACATAGAAAACTAAAACTAGATTGTAGCCTCTTAACACAGTAATTTAAAGCTTTAACAGAGCCAGAAGCCCAAATAATAAGCAGGGATAAAATGGACTTCGTCACTATAATAGTACCTGAATGCAAACTTTGGTGTTTATAAAAGTTGTATATGCGTAAGTGCTTCTCAGGTTACAGTTACAAGCCCTTGTCTGAATTTTAAAAGTAAAATCTGATACCAGTCTACAAATGTTTTTTTCTTCTTTTTTTTTTTTCATTTTTCAAAATTAGTACATATTTGTCATATATGATCATCGCATTCATCATAGGAAACTTGTACATGACACATTTTAAATCTTTTTTTCCAGTCCCTTCCTTTCTTTTCAAGCCTTCTTCCCCTCCCCATTTATAAAAGATTGTCACTCCCTCTACTCCATTTCCTATTTGAGCAAGTTCTCCATTAAATTCCTTATTTATCCTTTGGGTTTTTTAAAAAGAGGAACAATGTAATATTTAAATTTGTGTTAAGATTATGGCCTTGAGGTGTATTTATTTACCTAAAAACAACTCACATATATTCTTTATGGAAGAGTAGTACTCCACGGTATATCAGTATTACATTTTCTTTATCCATTCATCTTTTGATGAGCTTTTTGGGTGTTTCCAAGATTTAACTATTATAAATTTCTCTGGCTTAAACATGGGTATGCATACATCACTGTGGTATGATGCTTAACTCTCTGGGAGAGATACTTAGAAAGGTAACAGCTGGCTGAAAATGAAGCCTCTAGTTTTAGTCTTTTGAAGAATCTCCACACTGCCACAAGGATGCAAGGGCCAGAACTGAGTGGCAGCTGAATCTCTGGAGAGCTGGCTGAGGGCCATGGGCCTCCCCCAGCCACGGCATCACCATCAGCCATGTCTACTGCAGGGTGCTGGCAGCTGGGCCCTTGCCCTTGTTTAAGGGCTTGAGGTGCACTTGGAGGCCGGGTTATTAAAGCATTTGAGTGGTTTTGGGGGGAAAAAAAAGAAAAAGAATTTCCATACTTATCTCCATAATGGTTTACCAGTTTACACTCCTACCAGCTATGGAAAAAGGTTCCTTTTTCCCCCCGTTTCCTCACCAGCATTTGTTACTGAGCCCTTCCTTCTGGATTGAGATGGAATCTCAGTGTTGTTTTATCTTGCAATTCTCAAATGACCAATGATGTTGAACATTCTTTTCATATATTTATGTGATGTTTGTACTTCTTCATCTGATAAATGTTGATTCATTTCAGATGCCCCTTTTTTGATTGGGTCTTTAAATTTAGGAGTCAATTTGAGTTCTTTCTATATTCTAGATATTAGTCCTTTTTCTGAAGAACAGCTGGTAAAATTTTTTTTTCCAATTTTGTGTCTCTTCACTTTGTTGCTGGTTTCTTTTGCTATAAAATGAGCTAGAGAAAAGATGCTACCCATTACCATGGAAAATGGTTCTCTTCATTTTATCTACATGATCACTAAATAGAATGTGCTGAGAAATACTTGCAAATTAAATGACCTAAAATAAAATACACTCATTTATTAAAAAAAAGAAAATGTACTTGAAAGAAAAGACACTAAAATGTTCATGGTGGTTATATCTAAAGTATGCATTATGAATAATTTTAGTTTCCTTTTACATATTTTTTTTCCTCAGTACCAAATACATATAATTTTAAATATGTGAAATCTTCTTAAAAAGCAAACTTTTGAGGCCAGCCAGATAGCTCAGCTGACTAAAGTGCCTGCTTAGGCAGAGCGCAGAGGCTAGGTTCAATCCCCAGGTTGCTGTGCCAGCCCCGCCCCCAGGGCGTGCTAGCTGGTGATTGAGACTGGGTGAGGTGGCGTATGCCTGTAATCCCTGTGATTGGGAGGCTGAAAACAGGAGAATCGCTATGAATATGATCTACATAGTGAGACCCTGTAGACCTGCAGGTCCTGTACTAAATACATAAAAATGAAATAAAATTAAAA